ATGCGATTTTCGGGGTCAAAATCGCTCGGGCGCTTGAACCCTTTCAAAACAAGGCTTCCTCCCTTGTCTTTCTTTAATGCATTACATTAACGACGAAATCAGACTTATTCAAAATCGCTCAAAAAAAACATTTTCGAGGCAAAAGGACGACTAAGCACCGCAGGTAAAGTAATTCAACGTTTATTTATCAATGCACATAGTCAGCAATATATCACTCTAGGTGAGACAAGCGGTAAATCTGGTACATTCACTACAAAACAGCGGTCGGCTACACAAACAGATTGTATGAGCCCCCTGTGATGTGTCCAATAATGCTATGCAAGCGCCATGATACTATGAGAACCAATTGTTTATCAACTTTTACACGTGTGTGTGTTTTGACCAGATGGAAGGTGAAATTGACACGGAACAGTTTATGGAAGAAATTAGAAAATACGATTGTATGTTCAATCGCTTTAGCAAAGAATTCGCTCTTTCTGAAGACTTTCTGCATCAAGAAGAGACGTTTCTTCTTTGGTCAGGCAGCGATTCTCCGTTTAAGTAAAGACAACAGAAGCAGAATGTTAATACCTATTAAAATTTAAGCGTACTTTGCGTTTACGTTGGACTCGATTGTCATAGATCGCTGCGATCAGTTGCGATCATATGTGAACATGCGATTTGCGATCTTCGGTTGAGAGGTTTCAGTGATCGTGCAATCGCCTGCGATCGTCTGCGATTATATGTGAACCAGGCTTTAAGTTTTTACCGATACCAACCTTAGAAACTATTTATTATAAAACTATTATCCCTAGTGTTTTATATGGCATTGTAGTCTGGGGTCTTGTTCTTTAGCCTTGATAGATGGTATTGATCGAATTCATTTAAGAACTACAAGAATTATTTACAATCTACCCCGTAACATCCACAGTGATGACATCATGAACGCTCCACACTGGAACTCTATTGTTTCATTTTACATTAAGAGACTTTTAGTTATTACAGACAATATCTATCATGGAAATAGCATCCAACCCCTAAATGACTTAATAGTGAAATCCGAGACTCCTTATGACTTAAGAAAATCCTTAAAAGTTGAGGTTCATAGACCAAGAACAGAAATGGAAAGATCTTCGTTTAAGCACAGAGCTACACTATCCTGGAACCTCCTTCCTGAAGACATCAAGAACTGTTCAAACCTAACATTTTTCAAGAGAAAACTTAAGGAAAACAAGAGGATTCTGAAATCTATCAGTTTTACTAAAGCTTCCTACAGCGTTTCCAAAAAATCTTTGGACTTTAAATACTTTTAATATTTACTCTGTATTGTTATTAATATTAGTTTATTTCATTTGTCATTATTTACATACCCATTTTCGATTTATTCACCCACTAGGTTTTTATTAATTGATAATTTTGATTAGTGCAGGTCCACATCATGACTTAATGTCTTGCCTACCCCCTAACCTGCTTATTAAATAAACTACGATGATGATGATGATGATGACAGGGTGGAAGCAAGAGGTGAAGGTAGAGGGAGTTTCATTGCCGGTCCCT